ATAAATTAAATTAATTATCTCAATTAATTAATCATTTTTTTATATCCCCCCTTTTTTTTTACCATCTTTTTTTTTTTTACAGTTTGTTTTTATTAATTTTTTTTGGATTGGGTCGGATCTACTAGGTCCAAAAACAAGACCCGTCGATCAAAACTAAGTAAAAATCAGATCAAACTTGGAAAAAAGAAAGCTTAAAGTTAGGGTTCTTCAATTTCAAAGAAAGAACACATTTATCATAAAAAGTGGCCAAGTTCATCAACAGAAAACAGAACAAACACATTCATCAGATAAAATGAACTCTGCGATCTTTAAATCGCTTTCATTCCAACCAAACATATATTAATTTAACATCCTAAACAAAGAAAAACAGAATCATCAACAGATAAAAGAAATAGACAAGCACGACGGATTTTTTAAAGGAAAACAGGTCTGGATCTGATGGAAGAAATCCCACCCACGGGATCAAGCTTCCATCATCTCCTTCACCATTTTCCCCTAAAAGAATCCCTGTTTCAGAGATTTTTTTACCTAAGATGGAAAGAAAAGAAACCAGAGAATGCACAATCCCTTCGATGAGCTCTGGAAATTCAGGATCCTCTTCCTCTTACTGCCACCTCCGGCAACACCCAAATTCAGACCAAAAAAACCCCATTCCAAATCTAAAGACCTCTATTTATACCCACACAAGCAAAAGCAAAAAACAAAAAACAGAACCCCTCTTCCTAACCTTCCGATATGTCGTCTTTCTTCCCACTATAGATCGAATGGGGCCAAAATTGACCTCACAGAACACTGTCATTTTGCAGGAGTTTGTCTCATGCTCTATTGACTACAGTGTGAGGCGCAGGATTGGGGGCGGGGCGCCGTGTGCAGGGGCGTGATTGCCGGCATTGGGGCGCAGAGGAGGGAGGGTGTAGGCTCGATGCAGAGGGTGGATATGATTGCCAGAGGTGGGGCGCAGAGGAGGGAGGGTGTAGGCTCGATGCAGAGGGTGGATATGATTGCCAGAGGTGGGGCGCAGAGGAGGGAGGGTGTAGGCTCGGTGCAGAGGGTGGATATGATTGCCAGAGGTGGGGCACAGAGGAGGGGCATGGGTTCGGTGCAGAGAAAGGTATGATTGCCGGTGATGGGGAGGGGAAGCTGATTCGGTGCAGAGGGAGGTGGAGCAGGTTTGGTGCACAGGGAGGGGTAAAGGCTGGTTCGGTGCAGAGGAGGGGTAGAGTGCAGATTGCCGGTGATGGCTGATGTGCAAGAAAGGGGTGTAGAGCGCATGATTGTTGCAGCAGGTATGGTGCAAGCGGTAAGGGCAGGGGCGCAGAGGAGGGGTGCAGGACCAGCTCTAGACGGGGAGGGGTTTCTGCATTTTTTGGCCGTTCTGCCTTGTCTGATCTTTTCCTTCTCTATGAAAGAGACAAGATGCTAGGGTTTTGATGTTGGGTTTGGGCCGAACCTTTCGCCCTTTTTTTTTTTTTTTTGGATTGGGTCAAGATGGTCAATGGGCTACAGCAGGCTTAAAATTAGAAGTAGGTCAGATTTGGGTTGCGTTTGAGGCTTTAAATTGAAATGGGTTGGTGTTGGGTTGGGTTTTTGGTTTTAATGGGCTAGATTTATAGCTTCAAGGGTTTCACCCCCATACTTTTGATCTCTTCAATTGAGTCCCTTGTTTTAATTTTTTTCACCCCCTTCTTCCAATCCTCTTCGCAAAATTCCCTTTTTTTTTATTATGAACCTGACCATAAAAACAAAGGCAAACATAGTAGTTAAACGTAAAAATAAAACTAAAATAAAATAAAATTCTATTAAATTTTGAGTTATGACAGAAGCATGTTAGGAATTTTTTTTTGGGATTAAAGGTTATCGATGTTAAGTTTTTAGAAAATCATTATATTATTAAAACTTATGTTCTATTTGCTTTTTTGTAAAGATTAAAGGCAAGTTGTCTAAATGATTTTTCATAAGCTTTGTTTTATATTTGTTTTAGCCTTGGTTATTGCACTCGTTAGGTGTCACAGAACCATATACAAGGCTATTGCCAGTTGATGGTCCACATTTTGATGGATTTTAGATCATGTGAAGGAGATAATGCCTTCTAAAGCTTGATCTTTTGCCTATAATGGTGGAAGCCTTGGCCTTTTGTCCATAATGGTGAAAACCTTAACCCTTTGCCCATAATTATGGAGACCTTGTATTTTTATTTTTTTTTTGGTCAATGAGTTTTCCCCTTTTGGGCTCATTGTTCTTAATGGAGTGACAATAGGATATTGTTGACCAACCTTATGTTTGACTTTGAATTTGGGTTGATGATCTAACATTGACAATGATGTGAGCTTGTCCTTTTGTTTGTCAAAATCGACCCTCAATAGATATTAAGATGAGATATCAATGATGTAAAGACTATCATGTGTGATGGTTTGCTAAGCAGTAAAACTTTTGCTCACCAAGTCATATATCACATATGGGTGATTCAAAGTAAGTGAGTGCCTTGAACTGACTTGCCATGAGAACACTACATGCACATATCATTAATAACTTTTTAGTTATGGTGTGAGTGTAAGTGATCCTTTGACTTGAGATTATCATTAGTCTATGTGAGAACTTGTGTACTTTGATGCTATTAAAAAACAACAACTTTGAGGGTTTATGAGTAATACAATTATTGGATGCATCACGAGTTGCATGAGAGTAATGGGGGAGTCAATATAGGATTCATCCCTCTCAAGTCTATGAGAGAAGATATCTTTGGGATGAGACTACTTGCAAAGTCAATAGCTATTGCATGAATTATGATTTATTCAAAAAGTATGTCTATTTTAGGAATAAAAGAAAGATACATTAAGCTTTAAGGATAATGACACATAGCATGCATTTTATAATGGGGATATCGGTTACAAAGGAATTGAATTACACAAGTGCATTGGTCATAAGAAAGTTTGTCGAAGCCATCGATTTTTCTATCACTTTGGGTGGCCATGATGTATTGTTAAATACTGCTCTCAGTCTATGAGTATTTTTAACTGTCATTGTGATGGAAGTCTAGAGGATCACATACTTAGTGTGTTATAGGGATTAGGATTTTTATAAACCCAAGTTTTTGGATATGGACTAATTTATGTGAAAATAATATTTTCATAAAAGAAATAAATTAATTAAGTTACAAATTAAATTGCTAGAGAGAATTAATTTAAGTAAATTAATTCAAGTTTGGACTTGTTACAAATTAAAAACAAGAAAAATACAAAGTGGCATTTAAGTCCTTGGAAGACTTGTGGGTCAAAACCCTAACCCATAGGGCTTAGGCTTAGGCAACATTAAAGGCTTGGAGCCTTCGCTAAAAATCCCAATCCAAAATGGATTGAGGTGTGTGGCAAGAAAGGCGGAAAAAAAGGGACTAAAAGTCCTCTCTTCATGGGTTTTTTGCTTTGACTTGAAGACTAAGTTTGGCAATTCTAATGGGATTAGAATGCCAAGTCTTCTATTCCCTATTAATAAAAATTGGTGTAAAAAACCCTAAATCCTTGATGGAGATATTTTCCTTACCACTAAATTATTCTCTACCAAGTAGAAAGAGGTTAAATTAGATTCTCAATTGCTAGCACTATTGAAATATAGTCTTCTTCTTAATCCTCTAATGTACATGTAGATTACCGTCAGAAGAGTTCTATGATTTGACTTTAGGCTTTGTGCAAAAATGAAAATTAGAGCTATTCATCAAAGAGGCAGGCTTCTTTGAGGTATTGATCCTAATCTTCCTTAATCATTAAGGATTCATAAGGATTCTAAGTGGATTGAAAGAGGACAAGGTTAAATTTTTAATTTTTATTCACTTCATTACACCCTTTTAAATCCAATAGCGATATCAAAGCGATTTACGATATCTATTGATGGTTATTGAATTTGGATTGTTACGTGTTTTTAGAAAGATTGAATTTGTTGTGAAAATTGAATGAGTTTTATGGATCCAAGAGGTTGTTGGTACGTGTGGTTGAAGGCTAAGGTGCTCTTGCCATGAGTAGCATAGTGTTGGCTATTGTATGGCATAGCTTCACATTGAGGATGGGCACATAGTAGGCCATGCTATTGGTGACAACAAGTTTCGACACTTGTCTGCAGGTGCTAAGCACATAAGTTTGCGCAAGCTAGTCATGCAACTTAATTAGGGCATTGGCTTAGGTGTCAACAACTTTGTGCGGTTAGGATGGCGTTAAGGGCCCCTTTTAATGTGTCCACCCAAACCACATCTAGACACATTAAAAGGGGCATAGGATGTCGTTAAGGGCACACATAAGGCCACCTCATGTGTTGGCTACGACGGGCATGCCATAATGTTAACACTTGTTGAATCCATATATCGCACCATAGCTAGTGATGGAGCAGTAGCATGCAGGGGCACAATGGGGCATATGCCCCATAGGCAGTTCACACATACTAGTGCACGCGAGGGCCAATGCATATGGCACCACATTCTAGCACCTACATGTAGTAGTGACATGCACGATTGGCACTTGCACGAGGTTATCTATTTGTGACATGTAGGAGCACAGGGCCATGGGTACCTTTAAGGGCAGTAGCATGTCATGTGCCTAAGCATCCAATGAGAGTGCATGTGCCCCACAACAATACCATTGGTGTAGTGTGGCAACCACACTTACGTTTTAGGGTATAGTTGCATAGGGGCTATAATAGCAATAAACATGGTGGTGTGTTTGCTCTTAGGGTTTTTCCAACTAGTTCTTAATTTTTTTTATCTAGTTTGATTTTCAGAAGTTTAAAACAAATTTGGTCAATAATTTTTTCTGAGTTTAGAAAAATTAAATTACAATAAAAAAAATAATGTGGAAGTAAATGAGAGGTAAATTTAATTTATGCAACGAGTGGATTGCATGGTGCATGATCATAAGCCAATTTTGAATTTATTTCGGTTTTGGGTTGCAATTTTAAATATGGCTTAAATGCCATTCCTTCCTATATTTCTTGTGTATTTTTCTTCTCACCTTCTCCCTCACATGTAACGCGATTATTCTATTTAATATAATGTAAATTTTAGTTTTTTAAGAATAGAATAGAAGTAGAAAATCAAGAAAGGTGGTTCAAGTAAACAATTAAGGTGAATCCAATGTCAAATCCAAATGAGGGATGTTGCAACTCAAGCAAGGAATTATTCCCTTGGTTTAATTATTGATTTTATCATCCACTTGATAAATAAACTTAGGGGCTCATGATCATGGCATGGTAATTTTGCATATTTTATTGTTACATATATATGATAATGAGTAAATATGCAAAGATAATAACATTGAGACCATGATAATTAATAAATCCCTCAAAGAAAATATTAAGTCAAGATAACTAAATGCCTTCCATTGTGGAAGTAAAGCAAACCATCGTTCATTGTGTTGTCATTGTAGCCATAGCTAGAGGCATCATCTAACTTTTGGATTTTTATGGAAGCAATGGGTCAACTTAACTAAATTGGCATCAATTGGGATAGTCATAGCTAGGTTGGTGGAATTTAGAGGCAAGCATTGAGAAAAAATCCGAGTTTAGGACTTTTAGGATGAGGGGAGTACCACTCAATAATCCAAGGAATTGCATTAAGTGTAATTGGCTAGTGTTAACTTACCTAAAGACCTTTTTGTGGTATTGTAGTCATAGTTAGGATCATAAGAAGGGGAATATGGATCCTTGGCCTATTAGAAAACTTAGTAATGTAGTTTTTTGAGTCAATAGTAATGGCTATTAGGCTTGAGGAAAATAGTGAAAATAATACATATTAATAAAGATCATTTAACTAATTAGTAATCAAAGACAAGTACATATATTCTATTTTATTATGTTATATAAAATGTGACTTAAAACACTGACATTTTATTACGATTGATCTTGGACAAAGAAAATGTCTTAACCAACACTAACTTCCAAAAGGTGGAGTAATACTAGCACTAACTTCTAAGAAGGGAAGTAATATATGCTAAGGATATCTATAGAGACTTCTTAAGAGATATATGGATGATGTGTTAGATGTCCAATGTATAATGCTATCCAAATGACCTTTGAACTTAAAAAAGCAACATAAGGACATAGATAATCTATCATTTTGCTATATCTCAAAAATTTGTACTATGAGATCTTTAATGCACATGTTTTGTGCTAGATGATAGAAAGATCACTTGTTGGTCATCATGTGCTCCAAGAAGATAAGGCGCATTGAGAAGCTGGCAAAACTTGGCTTTGTTAATAATATCAAGTTAGCCATTAATCTAGTCATGTCATCTCTTTTTCCAAGTTTCTCCAACTTCATTGTTAACTTTAACATGAATAATATGAAGACATCTTTGCCATAGTTTTTGGCAATGATTTCCCAAGTTGAGAAAGGTCTCAGGAAAGGAAAATCTCACAAGTTCTCATGGTGAATCATGAGGGTATAGGCAAGGCCAAGTCGTTTAAGGTAAGAAAGAAAAAAAAAGCCAAGGTGAAAGGCAAGCGTCCTGTCAAGAAGGCTAAGCAAGGCCATGTCCCTTAAGGTAAGAACAAAGCTTAAGGTGAAAGGCAGTGGTCCTAGTAAGAAGGTTAAGCCAAACGCAAAAGGTAAGTCACCTAAGGATATTGTGAAAATTAAGAAAGTTTCTAGATAAAAGTGAATAATTTGTTTCCATTGTAAAAGAAGAAGTACTAAAAGACTTGTAAGAGAAAAAGAAGCATTCTCTTCAAGTTATCAAGTAAGAAGGCAAAGTTTACTTATGTGTGGGGAATAGAGTGAGAGTAGCTTGTTTAGCCATGGGGATTTATTTTTGCCAAGTGAATTGGTTTTAAAATTAGAACATGGATATTATGTGGTTAAATACCCTGATCATAATTTGGTGTTGAGTTTAAACACCAAAGGCTTTTTCGTTTAAATGAAAACTGTTATAGGATGACACCATTAATCGATGATTTATATGTTTTAGATTAGGAAAAACCTATTTTATGGATTAATAATAATAAACATAAGTCCAAGTACTCAAGGTAAACCTACTCGTAGCACTATAGAATTGGCCATATAAATGAGAAACCTTTGGCAAAACTACATAAAGAAAGGTACTTAGAGTCATTTAACTTAGCACCCATTAATATTTGTCACACGTGTTTACAAGGAAAATGGCTAAAGCACCATTTGCTGATAAAGGTAAAGACCTATCAAATTATTAAAGTTGATTCACACAAACATTTATAGACCTTTTCTAATAGGGATAAGAGGTGGGTGTTCCTTCTTCATAAGTTTTACTAATAACCTATATAGATATGAATATGTTTGCTTAATGAAGTATAAGTCAAAATCCTTTAAGAAATTTAAGGAGTTAAAAAATGAAGTAGAGAATCAACTGTCAGAGTATGCCCTATGAATCAACTAATTTAGCAAGACAATCTTATGTATTTGTGATTTACTTATTATATTTATAGCATTCTTTATCAAATATTAATTGTTATTCTTCTACATACATTAAATAAAGATAAAGTCCTTGGAATGTTTGTCGCATCAAAAAGTAATAGCAGTTATTGTTATTAGTGAAAACCATATGATGTGATAGTAATATTCTTAAATTGTTCATTAGTCATATATGTCATTGAGATAAGACCATCAATGATGTAAAGACTATCATTTGTGATGTTTTGCTAGGTGGCAAAACTTCTTTTCACAAAGTCATGTATCACATGCAAATGCCTCAAAATAAGTGACTGCACTAGATTGCCTTGCCATGAGAACTCTACATATGTATGTTATTAGTAGCTTATCAGCATTAATTGACGTGAGTGTAACTGATCCTTTGATTTGAGGTTGCCAATATTTTATGCAAGAACTTGTGTACTTTGTGTAATATCCCCAAATTTTCTAAAACCTTAAAATTTAAGCTAAGGACTTATGTGTGAGAAATTATTATTATTGGGCATAATAACTAAAATTCCCAAACTTAAGAGGGCTAAAAGAAAATCTGGTAATAAAGGGGCTAAGGCTGATTTTCCTTTCTTTCCTTGCCCTCTTGCGTGTTCCTGTAGACCCAAACCCCATCACCAGAAATTGCCGACCAGCCTAACCTAGCCTACACCCAATGCTTTGTCACCAGAAATCAGGTGAGATTTAGTTCTTCTTCTCCCAAGTCTCATTTAGAGATTTATAGGCATATGCTTCTAAAAATGATGATCAAATCTAGATCTTACTGTTGTTGCTTTTCGTAATTATCTTGTCTGTGTCAGGTTCTATATAGTGTAAAGGGAGGCCACCATTTTCTAACACTTTTTGGTAAGAAATCAACCACATGCTCTTCTTTTCATCTTTAATTTGAATTGGGTTAAATCTAATCCTTTAGGGTTTTTAATTTTGGGATTGTTTCTATAGTTTTCCTCCTTGATCTTGCCCACAATCTAGTGCCACCAAATCTTATCCTTTTTGCTAAAAATTCTAACAGCATGACTTGCAATAGTATTGTGCCTATCACTCCTTTTGTAGCTATCAAATTAAGTCCATTCTTAATTATATGGAAAGTTAAGAGATAGCTCTACAGTTTTTATGTTGGACATGTAACCTAGTTAAGTTGTTTTCAAGGTTAAAACATTGCTATAAATTCAATTCTTGAAGGTGGACAAAATTGGCAGTGTGACCTTATGCTAGTGTTCTAACTATAACTTTTTTTTATAGATGTTGAATCAAGGTGATTCTTGATCCTATAGAAAAGTAAGACATACGGCTACAATTGATCTATTAACCATTCAACCCAGATTGGTCAATTTTGGGTGCAAGTTTTGTTGGAACTTTCGGTTTAGAATCTGACTATAACTTGCCCTCAAAAGTGCCCAGAAATTTACTTTATTTTCTGCTCTATTCCCACATTATCAATGGCCACATCACATCATTGCTATACAAAAACACCTCATGACTACTTGATTTTGCTGCTGAAATCTTGCTCTATTAGTCTCAGCTCTTCCCACTAAAATCTGTCTTGAGTCACATGATTTCTTACTTAAATTTTGTGTGATAGAACCCAAAAATTTTAGCTATGGTTAGTTGTTGTTTCAACTTGATATTTTTCTTGTTTTCATGCTAGAAAGTATGCAATTATGTTAGTTAAAATCTACCTTTCTACATGTGGTCTTGAATGTAGTTTTTGCACTTAAATTGTGTTGTGTTTGTCTTGAAAATTCCTATTGGTTTGGCTAACCTTTTGCTGCTGCATTTATTGTTAAATTCTATCCATTTCTACCCAATTTAGCTTGTATCCTACACTGTTTTCACTATTATTTTTTCCCAGATAATCCTTGTTCTTCAAGGTTTTTTTCTAAACATTTTGGGACTCTTTCAAATGATGGAGACCCCCACCTTGCTGCCTAGCTTTTGTGCTACTATTTGGAGTAGTTTTAAGCTCGAATTCTCATTTTTCCACTTTATTTTGCCCAAAAAAATCTATTTGGAATACTTTCTATTTTGTGTGCCATTTGGAGCTGTTTTAAGTCTATTCTAAGTATGATTAAACATATTAATATATTAGTAAAGTTTCAATGGGTAGAAGTGGCAAGGATGTGTAGGAAGAAATTGTTCCTTTAGTTAGGAGCTTGATTATGGAATTAGAAACCAATTTAGTTAAATGAGGTATGTTGTAATCTTGTTTGTTCATTCGATGTGGTATAGGTTCTAAATCACCTCAATTGCGTTGAGTTCTTAAATTATTACTTGTTGTATACCTACAAGGTGATGAGAACCCCAAAGAGAACAATGAGACCCATAGCACGACAAGGGATTTCTAAACTCCAGGAAAGCTAAATCAGGTTTATAATAGGACCTTGACCCATTGTTTATGTCGCAACAAGAACCAAAGGTAAAAACCTTGACCCGTTGTCTATGACGCAACAAGAACCAGAGGTATAAAGTTGGTTGACGCCACACCCTCGAAAGAACGAGAATGATAAGTCAGGTTAGAACGCCACAAGAATAATCTTGATAAGTTCTGTAAAGTTCTAAAACGAACCAAAGAGAAAAGTCTCTCAAAAATCTCAGATTCAATAATTGTCTCCCCATTAGGGTTACAAGCCTTTTAAATAGAGAAAACAAATCCTAATCAGAATAGGAAATTAACACCCTAAGGCCTAAACCTAATAACCACGAATTGGGCTTCAAATAAGCAAATGTTCAGCCCAAAAATAATACAAAAAACGTGACAATCACTAAAAAAAACCTAAAATAACACGAAATATCAGTTTGCTACAAGTTGCAGCAGAATTGTGCGATTTTGACGCAAACTGTGTAATTCCATGCAAATGACCTCAACTAAGCTTCTCTTGAACTTGAATGATGTTTACCATGCCTTGATAATCATCCAAGCTTC